TCCCTTTTCTGAGGATTGCTTATAAGCAAGCTAATGTCGTTCATGGCATATGTCAGCACCAATTTACCGACGAAACATAGAGGGTTTGGTTGTCCCACCGGCAGAATCGAACCGCCGTCCTACTGCACGATAGTGCTATCCCGCTGTTCCGTGCCTCCTAGTCTAACCAGAGTATTCTTGATGAAGTTTGGCACAGAATAACCTCGTCTTCTATCTCTGATCCGCTGCGGGCTGCTCTTATTATTAGTGTGTTAGTCCATTTCACAAGCTGCGGGTACCAACGTTCTCAAGTGAAGCCAAATAGTTTGCCACTGCTAATTGTTAATCCATATTTAGACTGTTCAAATATGTGGATCCAAAACTGCTCGAGAAAGAGACATACAGGAGGTTCGCGAAGCTCACCGAATTTTTCGAGCCACAGACCGGGATCGCCGAAAAAGAAACTCAGGCGGTTTGCTTATTTCTTCTTACCCGATGATTTTTCGTATGGCTGAAATTTTTGGAAGGGTGAGTAGTGTTCAGGAGCAAAATTAGCAAATAACTGAAATAAGCACAGGACGGGCAGTCGAAATATCGTGCATAGTAGAGCGAACAGTAATCGCGGTAATGTGCTCTCACTCGGGATACTTACAAACGCCTTCAAGTCCGTGAGTGTCAGAGGTTCTAACTTTCGTTTGAGTCCAAGTGCCCCTGAATATTTTTTCCAGAAGGAATAAAACTCCCAAGTGCAATACGTGGAACACGTTTGCGAGCAATATGCGCTTCTTCTGCTGCCTTCTTGTTACACTATTTTCTTGTTCAAAAATAGAGAAGAGACTAGCAGGAAGGTAGCAATGTTCAGAGAGGAGTGGGGGAGAAGGGGGCTAGCGCAACGATTGAGGGGTGCATTTTGAGCTGACTGAGGGGGGTGCAGTAACGACGGAAGAAAGGGAGGTGAAATGGAGGCCGTCCTGGTCCGCCTATGTATGGAGCTCTCGACACTAATGAAATGGAGCTATGCTTCAACTTTTCGGGGATCTCGAAAAATTGGTAATGACCAGTGTTCCAGTGTTCCACTGCGGCTTCGAAGCAGTACTTCCTTCTGCTTGATTATGAGTTCGACACCCCATCCAGGCATTCAAGTGAATCCTTCTTTCCCATCTCTTTTTCAGTGTTCATTTAAAACCACCGGCATACATTTTCGACTGTCCGCATTGTTCATCTGATTACTTTCATTTTGGAGAAAAAGCAGAAAAATTAAACTGGAAAATTTGGGGGATTTTTTCTCGAAAACAAATGGTTTTTGCAGAAGAAAAAAGCAGTGGATGAATTCATTGAGTCACTCCTAAACACTACGGTATGGAGGCGTCTATATGAATTTTTGAACAAAAAAGGTAAATTTCCCACAAACGCATTTTGAATCAAATGCATCAGTAAAGGGGCAAACTACTATGAAGTTGCAAAAAGAAAAGAAAGAAAAAGTTAAAAGTTGAGAAAAGTTGTAAAAAGTCCCGAAAGAAATCATTTTCGCCATATCTTTTTCGTGAAAGGAATAAATTTTTAACATATTTTTATGCATGTTTTTAATTGAATTAATAAACATAAACTAAAAATTGTTAATGAATTTTCTTAGGAAATCACGGGGTTTCTTTGACAAAAAATTTATTAGAATTCTCGAGAAAATTAAGAATTCTCAAAAAAATCTAAATTTAAAATTCATTTCAAGAAAATTCATCAACAATTTTTAGTTTATGTTAATTAGCGCACAAGAAATATATCGAATAAGACGCGGATATTGACTGATTGAGGTGTTCAGCCTAGGACTGAAAAGCCTGGCGCAGTCCAGTAGCACCAATGGTAGGACCTCTGTAGCGATTGTCAGAGGGTTCTTGGTATTAAGATTTTGATAACGACAAACTACTAAAATTAACAAGAGTTATCATGTAGGAATGTAATAAAATTACTCATTTAGTATAGCTAATCATTTGAAGAATGCTTCATTTCTCACAAACAGCGAAAGGTGGAAAAAGGTAACACTTTAGCATAAAAATGCCCAGTAAAATTACTAGTTTCCTCTTATAATTTCCAATTCTTAAACAAAAGTGAGCAAACAAATTCTCCTCGAAGAAAATAATTGGCCAACACGCGGGCTGCCTGTGCGAAGATGCGCTTTTTGCATAGCTCTCAGCAGATTTTTGTCGCTAACGGCACTGGTTTTTCCGGCAGATGCTTCTAGTTAAAGAATTTCAGATTAATCGCCAGGACTGTCAGGAAACATCCCTTCAAAATCCCAGTCTTCTAGCTTTACACTTTCCCGAGTTAGCAACTTATCTGGAAGAAACTTTTAAGGGCCCGTACGTAGGTACCACGCTTACCCGCGGGCAGGATTTGAACCCGCTAATACCAACTTAAAAACTTTGGCGGGCCCGCACGCGGGTACCACGCTTACTCGGGGGATGGGTTTGAGTGCTTAATACTTAGTTGGACGGGGAACATTCCCCTAAGATATCAGCGTTCTAGCTTTTCAGATCTCCGAGTTATGAACATACGTCGGAAAAATTTTGGCGGGCCCGTACGCGGGTAGCACGCGGGTGTTGGCGCCCATTTTGGGGATTGGGGCCGGCACGTGCATGAAGATTAAGTTCCTGAAATTTCAGCCCCGCAGCTTTTCTAGGTCTTGAGATGAATGTGCGTGACAAAAACGCACACACAGACACACAGACAACCCCTCGTCAATGTGCGTTTTCTGCATTGCATAGCTGC